TCGTATTATAGCCGAATATCCGTGCCAATGTTGGAGATAGAAGGAAAGTATGCTCGTTATTTACACAATGTACACATGAACGCTGTGCACTAACATAGCCATTTTTATTTACTGTAAAAGTTAAATGATCTTTCATCGATGTTTCATTAACTGTTTCGACAAGATCATCGATTGAACGGTACAATCCCCGTGGCATAATGTAGTGTTCAATTCTATTTTGATCTACATCATTTTTAAGAGCCTCAGATGTATTGAACAAATTTCTTCTTACTGTGGTTTTTTCATCTTTCGGGAAATGAAGAAATGTCATAGGTATTTGAATATCTGTTAGGGATACACCCCATTCGCCTTGTAAACGTAATTGATGCGGTAAGCGAGTAATAAAATGAGTCGTTGTATTATCCGGAAAATATGAGACACTGCTATTACTAGGCAGAACTATGTAAAAATTATTCCTCATTATAGATATTTATTTGTTTTTTATATCCTTAGGATTTATCCACGTATTAAAATTTTCTGGAAAACCATGCCAACTAACGAGAATACGTCTCGAACGACCTCGACCCTTACTTCGAATTATTTTCTCAACTGTAAGATTTGTCTTTGCATAATCTCGGTGGATTCTAGTTAATTCTTCTTCGTAAAAGAGCCCATCTATATCCTCGCCGTGAAGATCTCTTAAGAAGTAGACTGGTGGTTGTTGGTGTGTGGAAACGCGTATTATAAGAAATATCTCTTTACTCCAGCCACCTTCATAACCTTTCGCGAACGCTGCTTTGTAGCTACTGATTCGCACAAGGTCTCCAACCTTGTATTTAGGAACACGAGTACGTTTACTAGCATATCGGTGAGCGAGATTTGTTCTAACAATCCGAACATTATTCAATGTTACATTACGCGGGGCCATTTTAATAGCGGTGTGATACGAGCGATTGTACGCATCAACAATATTTTGTAGAATATGAATATATCGTTTATTTTTTGTATATGTAAAATATCTCCACATGCGCTCCTTCAGCGTTCTATTGAGACGTTCGACAACTGCTGCTTTCACATCCGGATTACGAGCTACACGAAAACCAATTTTTTCGTTCTTCAAGAAAAGTTGTGTAGCTGCGCCTGTAAATTCTTTACCACGGTCAGTCTGCAAAACAATAGGACGTCTTCCTTTACTGCGTGCCAGTATACGTGCTAATGCTAGTGCAACACTTGCGCTTGTTTTATCACGCAGTTTTTCAACCCAAGCAAATTTACTCAAAACGTCGATAATGACGAGTAAATACGCATAATTATCGTTATAATTTTTAATTGCGCGTAGATCCACGATATCTGCTTCCCATAAATCATCGATATTGTACAAATTGTAGAAACGACGTGGATATCGACGGCGTAAAGGCCTATGTAGCGTATATGTGTCTTGACTCTCCAACCATTTGATAGTTTTATTTCGGGAAACAGTTTTATTAGTTTCACGCAATAATTTTGGTGCTCCGGAAAAAGATGCTGGATGAGAAGGGTCGTAATAAATTGTTTCTAGTTTTTTCATTCTTACAATTTAGATGCCTTTCTTTTTTTATTCAAAAGAGATAAACTTTCCCAATTATTGGCGCTACAATAGTTCTCACTGACGTTATCGGTATTATCCGTCGGAACCTCGCTTGAGTCAGATGTTTGGCTCGCTGCTGTAACACCGCTTGACAATATGATATTCGGTAGTCGTAGTGTGCTAATGGCGTTGCCAGGTCTTGGACTATCTGACCAAAGATCTTGATTTCCTATAAATTCACGAGGCACCTTTACACTACGCAGAAATGCGGCAAAATGATGTCTTCCGACAGGTCTTGCCGTTTTTCTGGAGCGCATAGTGTCATTTACAAGATCGACAATATTATATTCGGCTACTTTTGTACCGTCGATAGAGATAACACCATATTTATCCCAAACGAGTCTGTCAGACGCATTAGACTGTAAATGATTTAATAAAAGTTTAGCTTTTTGCCGATATTTTAACGGTACACTAGCCAAAATGAATGAATCACCCATCCGATCTTTTTCTATTTCTTTCATCTCCTCCCCATCTGAGTAGATAGCAGATTTGATGGTTGTATTATGCTTTGCTTCTTCTACGAAGTATAAATAACGCTGTAGTATTTGAAGGTAAGCCTTGCATTTTTCTCTTTCATCCACAAATTTATTTGAATTGAGAATTTCACGCATTTCTTCATCTAACCTGCTCAATGTAGTACCAGGCGTTTGAATTGTTTTATTATTTAATACGTGAGTTAATTGCATAACTTTTTCTTCCGGTACCAAAACCATTTTTTTTGTGTGTTCCATTATATTTTATTTCGGAGCTATAAGACAGGATAATACACTACCTAGTATAGGTACTAGTAACAAAAGTAAGAAATTCTTACTAAGAATCCACCCCGTTGCACGATCAAGCGTTTTTTACTCTTCCAAGAATCGTTTTTATCGGCGAGTCGACGTAATATGGCGGCATAGCGTTTCAAACGTCGTTTATATGGTTGTTTAAGTGGTACATTACCGTGTAATATATTTAAAGCACACTCGCATATGCATCTAACAAGTTTCGGATCAGCCTTTTTCAAGATAGCGATACGTTGTTCGTTTGTGAGGTGACGTAACGCTTGTAGTATTGCAGCGTGTTTTTGGCCGAAGATATGAGCGTTTGGTGCCATTACAAACTTATTGAATTTAAAGTTTGAAAAATATATTCACAATCCTTTTATTGGTGTATATAATTTACATTTACAACAATCTTTAATTAACGGTGTTGGACCATCAATATGCGATTGTTGAGTCGATAGCTTATAATGTTCTAAGCACCGCCGATAGCCACACACTTCTGGATCTCGTTTAATATACTCGGGGAGCTTATCCCATAGATAATCTATGTGATTGCTGAACTCTCGTAATAATATAATCTTTGGTATAAATTGTAATTGTTCAGCAGTCAAATCGTTGATAATATTATCACCCGTCAATATGAGAAACATTTTAGCTACTGACAAGATTTGGATTTCTGTTCGACTATAAATACGTTAAACAGAACGCTGTCGCACATGTATAAAATAATTTTAAAGATGTTAGATAAGATTATTGATATTTCCCGTGTTGTACTTCTATTTACGGGGCACGTAAACATATTGAAATTTATTATCAGGAAATATGCACGTGCGAAATCGACAATTTTCCGGTGTGGATTGCTTTAAATCAAGTAATAAATAACCATGCGGTATAGATGTTGCGTCATTATATATTTCCCATAAGAATTTAATATTTTCGGGATAAACTTGACGAGCCAAATGCTGTATTTGGGCACGATCCCTAGGATTTTTAAATACAACTATATAATTAGCATTCAATGAAATATCTCGCATACCGCGTCCTTGATGAAATAAATTTTGCGTAATAAAAATGACACTAATATTTTTATGATGACTCCCTTTCGTAAATAAATCTATTACAGTATTATCACATGCTTCACGCATAAGGTCATCAATAACAATAAGTTTTGGGCATGGATCGTTAGCATAATCCTCATTACGTGGTAATCCTTCATGAAATTCAACATTATCACCATATTCAGTGTAACTCGGCTGCCATTCTGAATAGTAAAATAATATACGATCAAACTTAGTATCGCTCCTAGCAGTCATATTTCGAAAAAATTTTTTCACGAAAAACGTTTTACCACAGCCTGTTGGACCGCAGACCATAGAGGTCCAAGGATGTTTCCACCGTGTATCCATTTTAACGAATAACAATATTTAATTGGTGTTCCTGTTATAAAAGACATTTATAATAAAGTGCAATATATATTCTTGTTTTTTAGATATGCTTTTAACAATGTATAAATAAAATCTTTAATACTATAAAAAGTAATCAAACATCTTTTTCTTTTAGATATAAATACTTTATTTGCGGCTTTCAAGGGTATAAACATATAATAATTATAAATTGCAATAGCCGTAGGGTAATGAACCATAAGAGTTCTCGCGTCTTCGTTTATCAAACGTTTGTTTGCACGTTTTACGTTCTGTACTTGTTACAACATTATGAAACTTCGTACGTTTGATAGCGTCAAAACAAAGTACTATTGAAATATCTAGCTCATTTGTAACAAGTTCCCTAACAGAGCGGTAATTAATCAATTTGTTGTTCGCAAAATTAAGAGTTACACCTTTGGCTTTGCAAACCTCTGTAGTACTACCATCGGGCTTACGTACAACAAATGCATAAAATTTTGGACCAGCTGAAACAAAAGATTCGATATAACTACCATCACCATAACACGTCAGCTCGTTCGTCAAATCACCCAGCAACTTACCCGTTGGTGGGTCATAATCATTCGGAGAATTACCACTCACATATATACATGAATCTGTATCGCAATATAATGCTCGGTTTCCAAGACGCTCGAGATACTCATATAATTTAAGACGAGCTTGAGCTGTTGTGAATGCGGCTATTACAACATTTGTTATGGGTGATGATGTTAAATTCTCGTCTCTGCATATATAACTAACATATAAAACGTCATCATTAACAGGTAATATACTTATAACATTTATCTCATTACTGGAAAGTAATTGTATCAATCTGTTACGTGTTGTTACAATTTCAACTTTAGGTAAATTCTCGCGTTGACCAAACTTACCCCAAAACGAATTTAAACATAATTTTGAAACAGCACGAAGCCCCGGATTAATATATATTTTTTGCGGATCTAATTTAATACCTTCCATTTGCTCATATTCATCTATGTATCGCATTTTTAACTCTTCATTATCAATACAGTCGGAAGGCCAACCGCTGGCTTCTTGCTTAATTTTTAAAAAAGTATTTATGTACTCTGTGAAATGACCCCCTTCTTTGGCTTCAGGATTATATTGAGTCATTTCATATTGCCAAATTTCATAAATATTCATAATTTTATATCCGACGATCACGGCTTTACGTATTTCATCAGCCACTCATGTACCCGTAAATTCACGATCCACAGTATCTTCGTGTATACAATCCTCTTGATACATATTTTCATAACACGAACGACATAAAGCAAACATTAATTTACCATGCATTCGTACAGGTAATACAGGATGATAAAGCATACGTGGTGGTAATATCGTACAATAAACGAGACCCTCCACTTTATCAATCTCGACGCCTGAAGATCCCGTTAATTTGCGACATTCTTCACCAACATATATTGTCGGATGTTTTACGGGGAATTTTCCTGTTTTACAGATATAAGGGTAAAGAGAACACACATCGACATAATGTATTTTCTCATTAGCCTTTACATCATAAAGAGACTCCATGTTCTCTGTACGACCACCATAAAAGGCGTCGCGAGGGTTTAACGGCTTTCGCGAAACCTCAGGCCGATTTTCTAAAAATATTCGCATATCCTCTCTAGATATTAAAATACGATCAAAATCACATTCCCACATCTCCGTTAAAATATATCCAGCAGATTCAATCTTTGCTGTAATAAACTGTGTACGTTCCAAACGAGCATCCATCGTATCAGTACTAATACCATGGGTTCTATTTACAGTATAACAACGGGGGCATCCATGCCAATAGCATCCATGAAATTGCAAAACATGTTTGATCACCGCACCGTCAATAATTTCTTCGTAATACCCATCAACAAGAACACCTTCGGGTAATCGTGTTTCGCGTCCGTTTCCCGCATGTGCTATGATATGACCCAACTCATGTTTCATCCAAGTTAACCACGAAATAGCTTTACGCGATTGATTCTGACCCCAGCGGTAGCCTCCCGTAAGTATAATACCTATCATATTTTTTTGAAGAAAATTTTTACGATAAACGCGAGAACAAGCCGATGCTATTGTTGTACTCTCCTCAAAAGGACAAACATTGCCGCATTTGATAAACATTTTGCGAAAAGCTAAACAAGCACGCCGCAATATTGTTACATCATTCTTGCAATAACTCACAATTTCTTTCTTAAAATGGAATATATAATTCGAACGTTTTGTCTCGTTATA